AAGTACTTTAAACTGTATAAATAATGTAAAATTAAATTGATTTAAACAGCCAATCATACGAATGTCTGCCTATGACCTATACTATAGATCAACCTAATCATGTTTATTCAATAAAATTCAGTCGATAACTCTGCGAATCATGATGAATTAATGATTGGCAAAGAGACACGTGCCCATTTGTAAAATTACCGTTATTCAACCCAGTATTGTATACAGTTACGATGGGAAAGCATTTCGGGTTAAGATCAACTTAACTCTAGTCGCAACTTTGGGATATTTTATTAAGGTCAGTTTTTATTATAATTCATTAGATACTTGTGATGGACGATCAAACGATGACTTATTAACTAGTTTATGGGCTATCATTCACATACATTGCTTCGATATTCACAATCATTGCTCCATCGCTCACAAGCATTGTTCATCATCCTTCACATTTGTTATGATTCCATGCACAATGATCATGCATATACCAAGCTCCAAATAAACAGCCATGAGAAATCCATGACAATACTCATATTGTTGGTATTATAATGCTGCAGTGGGAGACAACTGGAGCGCTTCTGGCTCTAGCAATCACCAACAAGAACACCAACCAACCAATATACCCAATAGAGGTAAAGCGGCGTATCAGGTATACGGTGGGAACTAAAAGAACGACTTAATTATTATTTATACAAGCAAATCTATCTCGTGTCTCTTTATTGAAGGCAAAACAAGCAAGTTTTATAACAAATTACATTTGGGGTAGAAAAAAAAAAGAGCAAGATCAAATTTTTCATCTAAACTATATCACGTCATTTCTAATTATTTATAACCAATTTGTTCCTTTAATTTAGAGTTCCTATCTTTATCCATTTATCTATCGGATATTCAGATTGATATCCGGATAATTATTTGTCGGATTATCCGGATACCAATAGTAAATGGATATCCGGATAAATTCAGATATGGATAAATGGATGACGGATTTATCTTAACTCCACACTGAATTTTACCAAATCTGTCTCCATGAGGGTTGACAGCATGGCCACAATCCCAACCGGTTTTCAGTATGTGTCTGTAATCCCGATCTAGATCGTAGATTCCATTATACTAATTCAATGTGCCAAATCAGAACGACTATGGGTGACTGATCCATGGAAACGAACTCACTGCTTATTCACATTATGGATCTGGGTAGTCTTCTGTAATCTTGGTATATGATTAGAGGATTAAACTTATATACTTTTTTAATATTATACTGCTATATTGCGTTATATACCATTAAATTATTTAGGTGATACTGTATCATACATGTAACCGTAAATTTAATATTAACTTGTCAATTATATATAGATATATTTTATTTTCATTTCGTGAGAAAATTTTTAAAATTTTTAAAAATCAGGATTTACTGGGTAAGTGGTATTACAGTACACCCTTCCATAACGATTCTATCGAAATTGCTAACATGCTATAACCGATAAAAATAGGTATTTTGCAGATCAGTATGGTATAGGATCTTCCCCAGCGTAACCGTCAAAAAAAGCTAGAACACGTGATTTTTATAGCTGAGATAATCTTCCCCAGCGTAACGGTCAAAAAAAGCTAGAACACGTGATTTTTATAGCTGAGATATGCTACTCCGAATAATATTTTTTATTACGAAATTATGAATGATTTGTAATTACAATTAAATATTCATATTAATATATTTTTTGCTTATCTGCATTTTTTTTTCAACATTCTTTTTTTTTTTATTATATCTGACATGGATTCATCTTCGACCGATCCATATTGTAATGGTTGCAAAAAATTTAAACCTATTAATGAATTCATAGGAAATGATAAAAATAATATACCTACTAAATTTCTAACTTGCAATTGTTGTCGTCAAAAATCTTCTAACAAATGGAAAAGATCTATAACAACCGATGATACTCTATTTAATGACGAGTTAGAAATTGTTGAATTGGATTTTTTAAGTGAAAGTGTTGCAGAGATTTTAGAAAATGCACTATCAAATTCGGATTTTCATTTCCATTGTGGAATAAATATTAGAAATTATAATGGTTCAAATAAAGATCTAGCAAGTGAAATCGTTGAACAAATTGAGAATGTAGATGAATATAATTGGATTTATAATCGTCAATATAATGGTAATAAATTAACTACTTACTGGTATATGTGTTCTCAACAGGATATTTTACAAAAAAAGCCACGCAAAAATCCTGATAAATTAAAGCAAAGAGATATTACATCAATAGAAATCATGTCTGTGCAAGACAATCGTGCCCATAACTTCCATTTTGATTCATTATACCACTCAGTCCAAAAATAGGACCAAAGTGATATTAAAGAATTGTTTTTGCAAAATGTGTACATTTCCTGAACAGATGTCTCATAAATTAAATCTGCTGTTAAAAATTGACCTTCACTTGTTGGAATAAAAGGATGTAAATGCAAGTGTTTTTTTACAATGCTCAATACAGTATTTCAAAGATCTTTAGGGCAGAACTGTGCTGCCTGCTTAATGCCATCAAACGGAAATCTTTTTCCAAGTTCAGAAAGAGGATTAAAGCCTGAAGATCTAGTAGGTTTGTTATTTGATAATCTTGTATTAATAGCTTTTTTAGCATGCCACTTGCATAATTGAACCTTACACTGTAGCCATGTAAAACGAATTATATTAATCTGTGCGAAGTCTTTATCGGTTAAAAAAAATTTGTGTTGTAATCCTCTATCTCAATATATAGTTAAAAATTTTTGCAAGACACCTGTTCGTACACCCTCATTACATCGACCATTGTTTTCAAGAAATAGATATGATAGTGAAAAACCAGTACCATATACTTCTACATGTAAAACATATAACTCAAACCCCAAATTATTGGTCTTGTAAGTAGCGTCGATTTCAAGT